ACCCTGAAACGCGCTAACAAAGTTCATCAGTTAATGATATTCACAACTTCCGGATCTTAGTCACTGGAGCCTTCACGGCATCCAGTAATTACTGTTCGAGGATTCTGACTTTAGGTTGAAGGAACTGTTTATATTTCCTTCACAACTTATTGTGTTTAAGAATGAGACTGACTAGGGTCGGATTTAGAGGTCTGGAGACCTCGGGGCAATAAAGGCGTGGAGAAAATTATTTAACCCAAATTATTTTCCAACTAAAATGTAAAATAAATTCAGTCTTGTTTTTCAATCAATAATTTGTTGTGAAACCAAGTAGATTCTTTTAGTATTGAACAAACATATAAAAATATGTATACCTAAAGAAAAGTTGGTTACTAGTGTTTACTAGTCGGAATTTCTCTTTCGTGGAGGCTCGTGGTCCCCTAAATCCGGCCCTGAGACTGATAATTAAAAGAAGCTGCATTAGTAATTTATTAAATAAGCAGAAACCCTGCGTCTGTTTTTGTATGCTAGAATGCGTTCGCGTTTGTATTTAAATATCCGTGAAAGAAGTTTTATTTCAATATAGTCTATGTTCAGTAGTGGGCTAAAATTGAATGGCATTTTGGGCACTGGTTAACGCAAATCGTGGGCCGTTATTCGAAAATTCGTTTTCAAATAACTGCCCACAAAACCTAGCAAGTTAGTTTTTCAGTAGCCCACTGCAATAGTTTATTTTATGTGGCAGTTAAATTCAAATTGCAACGAACACTGCGACCTTTTATCGGAATAATAAAGAGGGATGTCCATCGTAAAAATTATTTTATGTCGCCATTTTGGAGACGTGGCTTGAGTGAAACAAAGGTTGTGGCAGTAAAACTGATTTAACAATAAATCGTAACTTATTTTAAACAGACAACTACCGCCGGTTTGAATCAATCAAATTCGAACGAACACTTAATTCATTATTTTGAATTCTGGTTCAGCGCTCAATAGTAGTTTAATTTAATAAAAACAAATCAGTGGTGCTACAACCTCTTTAGGTCTTGGCCTCAGATTTCTGAATCTGTTTCATGATCATTTTTAAATCTAATAGGCAAGTACTCAGTCTCCAGTGCCTGACACACGCCGTCGACTTTTTGGGTCTAAGGCATGTCGGTTTCCTCACGATGGTTTCCTTCACCGTTCGAGCAAATGTTAAATGCGCACATAGAAAGAAAGTCCATGGGCGCACAGCCGGGGATCGAACCAAACTGCTCTTTTTGTTTTAATTTATTCTTTGTATTAATTTGTTTTAATAGCTTGATATATTTTTCTGTTTTAAAGAAATTTATATTTATTATTACAATCAAATTTTCTTAACCTACATAGTAGAAATAAATATAATTAAAAATTAATAAAAGGGATATAAAAACAAATTTTAAAAGTTTGGTCCCTATGTACCTTTAACACTGGCAGCATTTCCTCGCTGTATTGCTATACTTATTCGTTGAGCAAGGAAAGCACCAGCTCTGGGGTCACCAGTACTAACTACCAGCCGCCAACCTAAATCTTTAATTAGCGCTTTTAATTTATTTATATATTCACGGCTTTTTAAGAGGTAGACCGAAACCACAGATCTCCACTCCTGAAATACCTCTCCCGCTTCATCCATTTTCATTACATTAACCATGATTGCTCGTTCGAAAACATAATTATTGTGAAATCTTTGTTTTGGTTTGTTTCTTCGATCGACATGAGAATCATCTATATTATACAAATACACATTGTATGTATGTACAGACTGATGTCCCAAATGTGAAATAAAGGAAATCATAATAACATTTACCGTCATTTGAGTCTAGGAAGGTGGGAACTGACCTAACGTTATCCTCGCCAAAGGCTGTAATGTAACATGTAATGTAATGTTACACAGCCGCTTAGGAGCTGCCCATTCGGGGTGCAGTCCCATAAGTATCCTGTCGTGTTAAGTAAGGCCTGACACCATGGCCTACACGCCCAACGAGTGCCGGTCGTTGTTCTCGCTTTGAGCGCTAACCACCCGGCATAACGTCGGTTTCTTGGCGATCCTCAATGTTCAGCACTTTTGGACGCCAACAGGTTCAGTAATTGACGAGTCGCAAGCGTCGCGAGGACATGATTATGATTCTTCTATAAATTGTACGTGCTTTTTTATGGGATGCTACTTTTGTCGACAATTAATTCTCATCAGTTCTTCGGACAAACAAAATCGAGACCTGCGTACAAATTTTTATACTGTCCAGTAATCATTTGGTTCTTTTCAATATTGTTCCAATGAATAACAAACCACCTCAGGTACGCCTGTGTTTTTAAATAAGTTGGCGCCTTATGTCCAGTAAAATTGTTTCTTCTAATAGGTCTTAATTTGGATGAAATGCAATAATTAAATAGAATGAAAGATATCAAATTATCACTTGTTATCACTTCTTCGTAATTACTTTAACTTATAGGCGGCGAAAATTGAACTACTGTATATTTTTGACATAACATGATTTTTGAATTATTGGAACACGTTGTTGGGTGTCAGCGTAACATGATGAATCGTCTATATTATGCAAATACGCTCGTATGCGATGTACATATACACATCGTCAAATTTGGTCATTTTGTTCCCACCTGAGTCTAAGGTTCCAAAAACTAACACAGACAAGCTTATATCAAGTCACACTCTGAAATACAGAGTATATTATTCACATATTCATACATTCACGCATACTTAAAGTCTAACACGACTTTTGTTTGATTAGATGTAACATTGAGACTACGTTTTCTTTAATAAACTGTTTTAAACATGCACCACGGTACCACGGAATCATTGTAATTTACTTATCCACAACTGTGGGCTAGTGACGATCAAATTTATGTCATGAAAAAAGTTTTATTATTATTATTTTAGACGTCGGTTCATCTTAGTGTTTTTGCCAAACTTGTATATTTTATAATTTCCATAACATCCACACAATCTTGTAGACAACAAACAAACGATCGTCGAGACAATATAAATGATAGCGTCTTATTTACCTGCAACTAGAAAACGCAAGATTTTTCTCAATGTGTTTACTTGAGAGAAGTTAATGCAGCGTACTTGAATTTTAAATTGAAACTGTAGTCACTTCATTGAATATTCTTATGAGCTCTAGTATTTTTAAGAACGCTTTTAACGTTTGATATTCATCCTGGAATTAATTTGATTTTAAAACTAGTGATGGGCAATCGAGTTGTGTGATGCTATTAGCTGAATTATCTGCTATTTCACAGTTTTATAACATGTATACACCTAAAGCTACGCAAGCTTTTGTGAGTATAAATCTGAAGCCTTTTGTACTTCAGTATCATTGACAATATTTCGATATTTATAGGTAGTTAAACCAATTATATATACGTAAATTTTACCTCTAAGACATGCTGATTATAATATATATCGTACGTACACTGATAGTAAAACCTATTAGTACACAGCCAGTACACGAACACAAGACCTCATAATTAGAATCGCAAACTTAACAGTTTTAAAGTAAATGTTTTGTTTTTATTCAAAAACCTTATGTGAAATAGCTAAAAAAATATATTTATAAGCTATACCTTATCGCCAATTTTATATCTATCTTAAAAGATATCGAAAGTTAGAGAAAGTGATTTTTTTTCATATTAAACGTGGCAATGACGTCTCGTCGAATTGACAACCAACAAAAGGATTAATGTAATTCATTACGAAATTGTGTATATTTTAAAACGAGTATAATTTTTTCCAAGCTTATAAAGTTATTCATATTAGTTATGGACATATTTACGCTTAAAGCTGTATTTGATGACTAAACATGTTTTATAAGGTATTGTCTTTTATTGACATAACTTTTACACTATCTTCAATCCGGTAAAATAGCGTTTTCTTTAAATGTTTTATAAAGGTTAGGTTTTGTAATAACAAAAGATTTTTCTTATTAATTTATTTATTTCCATTTTTCCTCAACTAAATATAAACAATAACATAAAAGGCGACAGCTGATTGCTACTTTAACTTACATAAGATACATACAATAAATACAAAAGATTGAATTTAAATGATAATTTTAAATTACACCTTAAGACTAGTCAGGAAGCTATTTCGATATCATAACAAGTTACAAAATAACAGTTATTTATAACAGCTATTTTTATTCAAATAAGTTTTGCAAAGTAGCTTTTTTTCATTAACGTCGGGATATCACAGCTATCATTTTAATATTTAAATTTTATAGTTAATCATAATATTACTTTATCATTTTGAATTACACAAACATTTTAAATATCTTTAACTCTATTCAACGTTGAAAGAGAAGGTATTGCGTTTATGTACAACAGACGTTATTCAATACTAAATTTTGGTTTTATATTAGGCTAAAATAGTGGCAAAAATTACCTTAAAATATAGGAATTAACTTATCGAATATAAATATTACGTATTGAAGAATACAACAATTTATGTAGTTTCAAAGAGTCCTCGCCTTTTTAAAAAAGGAACAGAAAGATTTCTACTTTGCACTCGATAAATGCATCCAATGAATGAAACTTTGTTTGGTACAAATGCTGTATTCTTGTGAATGAAGATTAAACTTTACTAAAACTTATTCGATCTGAACTGATCTTTAAGTAGTCGCTCACATCGAAAATATCCAATTAAAAAGTGTCAGCCTATTTATTCTGTTTCGTAACAAATATATTTGAACTTATTTTGGGCTGTAAAATGAGATTTTGTGAAGTTCTATCTCCATTCAAAACTATTCTGATCTTAGATAATATATTGTGTTTTATCAAATAACCAATTAAGATCAGTTTCACTTCTCAAACTGATATTTCAAGCTTTTGTTACTGAAGTAAATCCTATTTTCATCGGATAATTGAAAGGTATTATGAACTTATAGGCATAGGTTTCCAACATGCGCTGATTTAGTTATTTTTTGCTTTTGTTTTAATTTTGGCATTGTGCAACTATCAAAAACAAATATTCCCGATGAAATTTATTTTTAATTTCTAGTCAACATAGGGTTAATCATAATATTGGCAAGGGCGTTGCGACGTTTCCTCCATGCGCCTGCGCCTTGTGCGTGATACTGCAACTGACGGTACCAAGTGCGAGTGCGTGTACTTTCATCCGCCTGAAATTAAGAAAGATTTAATTAGATTTCAAACATACGTCATCATCAGGACATAATCCACATCTTGCTCCACATGTAAATATAGCTATGTATGGGACGCAAAAGGTATAGAGTATCGCATATTAGCTACGTAATTTTTCTCGCTCGGAAGTGAGTGCCGTCCGTTTTGGAATTGGTAGGCTCTTTTCTTGAAGGACTCTAAGTCGAATTGGTTCGGAAACACTTCAGTTGGCAGCTGGTTCCACATAGTGCTGGTGCGTGGCAAAAACTGCCTTAAGAAACGCTCAATCGTGGAACGACGGACGTCGAGGTGATACGGATGGTATTTCGTAATCTGCCTTGACGTCCTATGACGGCCTGCGATAACGTAATGTTTTTACGGACTTGGTTATTTCAGTGCGTTATGTTACGTTAGGTGACTGGTATTTTTGGACGTACATGTGCCTCAAAGATGGAAACTTGTCATTTTAAATCAAAGTTAATTTATAAACATTATAAACACGTAGAATCTATAATATATTGTTGATGATTCTCATGAAATTGGATCTAGAACAAAGTTTTTTTTTGTCGACTTTTACCCTCAGTAATACAGTGCAAAAATAGATTATTTAGATAACATAAGAATATATATTATATACATCATATTACTTCACCAGGTGTAGTTGTAAAATCACTTGGCAATACTCATCTATTCATGCATTCATGCTAAAACAAACATCAATCGTAGAGATTTTTCCAAACAAAAAATTCTGTACAAATTCAACTATATTCGATAACAAAAATTCCAGTACTAAACAAACGCATTCTCCCGTAAATAGAGTGCAGTGGTTCGTACCAAATGTATAGCGAGAGAGTTTGCTTTTCTACGCTGAGGTAACTTGCATTCGAATCGACTTATGGCCTCCGATTTATAGGTATACCGGATATAGGCTTTCAGCTTGACATATCAGCTTTAAATCGCTTAGATCATGCTTGTGGTTTCCATTTTCGAGAAATTGTCACGGTATTTTGCGATCCTTAAGCTTTCAAAGCAATAAAGTTATAAGAAACGATAGTGATTTGTTACGTTCTAATGTCATACAATTAAAATAACTATTAAGAACATTACCATTTGCCTATGCGTTTATGAAGTAGGTCTTTAATTATTTATATTAAAAAACTGAGTATAAAATTATCGATATTAACATGTAACTTACCTTAAAAATATAAGAATCCTTAGTAGTTATCTCGTGAACTTCGAAGAAGTGTTCAGGCTCGTGATCGGCAGCCACCACGCAGCGGTCGAGGAAGAGTGGCTCCCGCTGTAAAGTGTATCTTCCAGCCTTTTCCCTAACAAGGAGTAGGGCTGCTTCTCTAACACCGCTTCTAGCGAATAAAGCCTCCCCTTCTTTCTCGCGAGCCTCCCGATCTCTTGCTTCTCTTGTCTCACGTATTTCGTTCGTTTTGTGCGAGTTCGTTGGCTGAAAGATATATAACAATATATTATTGTTAGGTCTTCTTAATGTAAAGGTAATCTAAATATACTAAATAATAACTTAAAAAGAACTCCATTTGTCCTTAGACATGCAACGCTCCCGGCGTTATTATTCTAACTGACCCGACTGCTCCTTTTCCCTTTCCGTCTCATAAAATAGGATTAGTTTTTAAGTAAAAAGTTAGTGTCTTTTCGGCCTTAAGGTTAAGTTATGCTTTTTTCTGTGTAACAAACAAAATATCTAAGTTTATAATATTTTACTTGAACTTCTTGTATCGAAACTATTATATATCTAGCAATAACAGGCGAAAGTGAGTTCATTAGAGTTTGTTGATGAGCGATTTAATGAGTTATATCTGATATTGTAACATTATACATCTCTTGTGTAACTTCCTGGCGTGTATAATAAAGGAATAAATGGGATAACATGGAAATATTTGAATTTCTATTATAAATGAGAGATCGTTAACAATATGTAAGTAGTTTTTGTGTTTAAACTTGATGTTGAATATAATGACGACTAGATAATGTAAACAAAAATGAGATTATTAAGCTATTGCATTGATTTTATAGCGGGCTTTGAGCGCGGCGACCGAATCAAGAAATTCCGTAACTAAAATAAAAATCTAAGACAAGATGACGTAATATAGGTGCGGCCAATACGCGATAGAGCGGGACAGAACGCATACTGCGTCTCACATCGATCTGCCGTGATCGGTGACGTAGTGTAAGCGCCGCCGGTTCAGCCAGTACGCGTTAGAGTGAGACAGACTATATAGGCGTGTTATTCTGAGTCTGATAGAGTGGTGGAGTGAATTAAAATCAAAGAAAAAACTTGAATTAATATCAAAGCAAAAAAAAACCGCATAAATAAAAAAATAAATAAATAATTATAATTGTTGTGTAAAAAGTTAGTAATAAATGCTATGCAAAAGCTTTACCGCGACAGTCCCTGAGTGCCACGCGGTTTTATTTTCCTTACGTCTTTCAAATCTCCCTAATTGTTTTATATTTCATCAAGATTTGTTCACGTGTTGTGTATTTTATATATTAACCATATTGTCTTAAGTTTAGTTCTAATACTTGTTATTGGACATTGTTAAGCCCAATTTTAAGAACCTATGTGTGAATCAACTGACTTACACAAGCTTATGTAACTCTAAGGTCATTTCCAAATATTTTCATAAAACGATACTGAAAAAATTTCATAAATATTTTACCAGCCAATATTTTTATAATTGAAATCGCGTGGCGATACAACCTATAGGTCTTGTTTCGTAAAAAAAATTCTGAATAGGCAAGTACGTGCTCAGCCTTTATGCCTGACACACGTTGTCGATTCTTAGATCTAAGGCATGCAGATTTCCACATGTTGTTTTCTGTTCAAGTATAATTGTTATAAAAAGAAAACTCCATTGGTGCCAAGCTGTGATTTGAACCAGAGTTTTGAAAGGCGCCCGTGCAAGCCGTTCTCTTACATAAAAACAGCTTAAATTATATATAGTCTCACCTTTCCATTAGTTACCAAAAGAGCATTTATCGGCATCAATTTGATAGTGCGTCCTTTACGCCAGTTGTTGTCGTTCGGTTGAGTGAACAGCAGCTTGCCCTCCATAGCGAATCTGTACATTGAAATACATACATCAATTCCCGCTGTGCATACGTCTAGAAACAGGCGAGTGATGTGTAGTGCTGTTTCTACACAAAGACGTTATACCATCTATATAGTCATACGATAAGCTTTTTAATAATATGTTTTTTAGTTATAAATAGGTGCGTATGCAGTTTTTACTGCTTAGTGTAGTGCAAAACCACAACTACGTTTTAACAATTAATTAATAATGGTATAAAAAAATCTGGATATCCAAATGAATAAATTTGTATGTAATGGAATGTAGCTAGTTAAATATAATCACAGTATAATATTACACATTTTTCTAATGAGGGTAACAGTTGAATTATAATTAAAAATCAAAATCAACACATTATATAAATAGCGTATACATAATATATTTGTCGAAGGAATGGCGTAACTATGAACTGCATATGTTATTAAATACTGTTAGTATTAAAGGTTTTGTTTGGACTGATTTAATGTTATTACATTATAAGCCCTGTGATATAAATTGACATTGCTGCGACCGGTTATTATAGAAATCAAATATTTTCAAAAGAGCAGTCAAGTTGAAAAAAGACTAATATTAACGTACAAATAAAACACAATATAATACTTCAAGGGTGATAATTCGGATTTTCAGAGTGGTAAGCGATAAAACTCGTATCTTAAACTTGGGCGTATAAGAGCAATGATTCTCGTAATAGAGCAATTTGTTACTCCATCCATTTTAGTTTATCTCTTACAATTTTCCAAAGATTATCTTTTATTTTATAAATACATTTTTTACGACAAACATGATAAATATATAAAAACGTAATATTTTTTTTCATCTATACACAATTATTTATTATTTTGACTAAGCACTTTTAAAATAATGATGTTATTAAAAGTAATAAAAAGCTAAATTTTATAAAAAGCCGGTCTTGTTTCCTAGAAAAAAGTGCTACAGAAATATCTCATTTTATTAAATGAAGTTTCTTCAAGGCTTTTGAATACCAATTTAAAATTACCACAGATGGCAAAGAGAAATAGCTGCAAAACTAACCTGGCATCATCATGATTCCAGTCAAGCACGTCAACCGCCATCTTCCTCAGTCTTATGTCAGCTACGTGTAGGTCATGTGCTGTTCTTCGAGCGGCCGCGAGCCTTCTCCAGAGGGGAACGTCTCTTGCAGCAGCCGCGGCCGCTGCCGCCGCTGCGTTGATTTCTTCAAGTCTACACTCAACGCAGCGCTGCGCATTCTTGACGTCATCTCTTTCGCAGGCACAAGAGGCAGTTGCACGATATAAACGAGAGAGAAGGAGCGGATATTTTGTCACGCGTTGAACGGGTACCTGTTAATAATAGTGTTCAAATGTTTTTCTTAATTTTTATGAATGAGTCAGAAGTTAAATTCAGCTAAGCATCAGCAAACAATATATAAGAAAGAGATTATTGTTTTACGAATAAAATTAAAAACTACTGGTCAAATATAACACTTGAATTGTATCAGTAACATAGGCAATAGCTATTCCAAAAAGTCCAGTTGTCCGAAGGACGCAGTTTTAATGTAAAGTCAAAATGTTTATAGAACATATATAGATATTATTAATTTTAAATACAAACCATGAGGAAGGAATTAAGATTCATACGCCTCAAAACCGTATTTTCCATTTGTGAAACGCGTAAGAATATCCTCAGAAGTTCTTTCTCCTTCTCCAGACCAGCCAAAAGCAAGGCGGCACCGGCTTGCTTTACACAATATGATTGGAATGCTGTTAACATTCCGGAACATTCTAGGAGAATTTTTCCAACATTCACGGTCAGTAAATCCTATAAATAACCAATAAAATAACTGATAATAAACTTCGAATTTTTATCTCTAATAATATAAAGGCAAACAGTTTCACACAAAAAATTATAGAAAACCACTGTTATAAGACCCATCTTGTTCTTTTTATAAATGAAGAATTTTATTATAGTTTTAGAAAGATATATAATGTGGTATTCGTTTCTCCTCTATAGTTGTCATTAGGCATATTCAATGTGTTTTACTAAAATTCTGGGTTCGAATCCCAGAATTATTTGATTTTTTGAAAATATACTTTTGAGAGGGACTGAAAAATATATCTATCTCTCTCTATCTCAGGTGTTTATTATATACACAGCCTATGCATACATGAATACAGAACACTATTATAATATGAGAAAGTATTTGATGAGGCGGGAAGACTCTGATTTTGTTTAAGCAGTGATTTGAAATATTAAGTAATATTTGTTGTTTTAAATGTTAAATTTCAGTTTTCTTTATATAGTTTTGTCTATTAATATACTTATTTGTTTTCTGTTTCGTATATATTGATTATCTATGTAATCTGTTTTGGCTTTCTGTCTGTCTAAGTGTTTTGTTTTATAATATGTATATTAGTTGTAAGATTACTTATAATTTAATAAATAAATATATATTCGTTGCGTACCTCATCTCCTTGTTCCACGGCAATTTCTAGACCATCTCTTAATTTTTCCGACAAAACCTGATTGTTATCAATAAGTTCCTCCACGTTTAAGAAAATAGCGCTTAATTGTTCTTGGTTAAGTAAGCCTGCCACTAGCATAGGTTTGTAGAACTCCTCTAGAATGATTTGAAGATCTCGTCCGTATTTCTCCTCAGTTTCAACTATTTCTGTTATAATTTCCTTTCTCTCTGCTCTCTTTTTGGCACATTTCCGGCAAACCAGGGGTGCGTATATTGAACCTGTAAATAGATATATCCAATATACGTTAGTTAAAAAAAGTACCTTTTAGAACACAAAGCCATAGAAATGCTATTTAATATTTATAAAGTACTAGCAGACCGGCCAAGCGTTGCTGTGGCTAAGGTTTTTGTTATATTACATAGTAGCAAACTATTCAAGGGAAAAGGTAGGAGAAAACCAGTCATGGAGTGCACCATGCTTTTTTTGTGGTTATTCCATTAAATTTTAGCTTATGTGAAACGTTGGTACTTTCAACACAGCGCCATCTGTTAGAATTGTGATTATCAAATAATAAACAAATATTTTGCAATAAAATAATATTGTGGGTATAAATTGAGATGTAAGCTATCCTATCATTTAAGTTGGATCAAACTACACACGGTGTGCAAATTTGATTGATATCGGTTCGGTAGTTTAGGAGCCCATAGCGGACAAACAACGGGACACGTAATTTATATATATTAAGATTTTATAAAAAAAAAATCAGTGGCGCTACAACCTCTTTAGGTCTTGGTCTCAGATTTCTGAATCTGTTTCATGATCATTTTTAAATCTAATAGGCAAGTAGGTGATCAGCCTGCCAGACACACGCCGTCGACTTTTTGGGTTTAATACAAGTCGGTTTCCTCACGATGTTTTCCTTCACCGTTCGAGCAAATGTTAAATGCGCACATAGAAAGAAAGTCCATTGGTGAACAGCCGGGGATCGAACCTACGACCTCAGGTATGAGAATCGCACGCTGAAACCACTAGGCCAACACTACTCTTAAAGTATTTTATATTTATATTAATTATTACCTTGCTCTGTAACTTGCGTGTCAACTGCAGTATCACAGTCTTCACATAAGTGTATTGGAGTATCTTTATCACTTATTGAATTCCGGGGAGAAATTTTTCCTTGAAGTCTGCTCCTTGATGATTTACTTGTCTCTGAGCCTACACCTGAATCGTTTCTTTCAATTTCCGTCGATGACTTTTTACAAAGTAAAGCTTTTTCTGCATTATCGTTTGTAATAATTAATGAATTATCTTCACTTGAATCAGATGCATTCGATACTTGACTGGTATTCCTTTCAACTCCATTGGGTTTTGTATCGTTTTTTCTATTACCATCTCTTTTCTCTGATAACGATTGATGTTCTGGCGTATTACCATAATTAGTTATATATGTTTCTTCATCATCAATACCTCTTTCTTTAGCATCAACCAAATATGATAAGATATCATATTTGGATGCACCTTCAAATATTGAACGGGAACCGGTCCTTTTTTCCTCATCAGTAATTATAAGTGAATTTGGCGGCGGATTTACTGGTAGGGGCGGTGGCATATCTCCAATTTCTTCGTATATTGGATCGCTATTCAGACGGATCGATTCGTAATGATGATCATCATCAGTGTTATTAGCTGTTTCAATATCACAAATCGCTGCGTCTACCAACATTTGATAAAATTTGGATCTTGTTGAATTAGTATCATCTTCTGTTGATAGTTCACTTGCAGATGCATTATAACAATCCGACATTGGTTCCAAGTCTGAAAAACCTCCAGCTACCCCGCTTTCATACTCCATACTTTCATAGGGAGCTGAGCAGATATTATTTTCATTTTGAAAATACACAGTATTCCCGATATTGTTCGTAGCATTTTCATTTTTACATTCTCCGTCAGCTATAATACAAGATTTATTCATTTCTTCCTTCATACTAATAAGAGAACTTTCAATTAACTTTTCGATTGTAACTTTGCCATTATTAACTCCTTCTTGATGTTTTGTTTCTTGCAATTTAATTAATGAATTTTCTATTAACTTTTTGACTAAATCAGAGTCTAAGCCATCTGCCAGATGAGCAAAAAAAGGATCGTCAAATAATTTTGCAACCAAATTTCCACCTTCTGGAGTCTTTTTGTCACAATCAGATTGGCTTAAGCTATCATCTTTTTCCCACAGACGTGTGGAATAAGATTGCGTTTTACAGCTTCTACTGGATCACTAAGTATTGAAGAAATACTAGAATTGACACTTGCTGAATTACTTTCATTAAAGTATTCTTCATAAGTATTATTGAATTCATCATTCTTATTCTCTCCAGGAAACACAGCTCCGATATAAACTTGACTTTTAGATTTTTTACCATCATTTTGTGGAGAACCAACGCTTATAGTAACGGTTGTTCCTGTCTGATATGTATTACATGAAGTACTGGACCCATCATTTACTACAACTGAAGATAAATAAATTGGGGTATCGTTACTGACATTCATTGTGGAATAACATTCATTCCCATTTATCTGTATTGACGTCTTTCTAGGCTCGTTATCTATAAATTTAAGGACTCTTTTAGATTCCTTTGAACTTTCCTGAGTATCTTCTGTCTCAAACTGTTTAACTTTTAAAACAGTTTTTTGTTCATTATCATTTGAATCTGACCACTCATCACTCGTAGAACTTATAGAATCATTACGAACAAAACGAGTTTTAACATAGTTTTGTCTTTTAGAACGTGATTTTAATCTCGGTGGGGGTTCTGGTAACTCAGTTATTCCATTACGTAAATTTTTCAAAACTTTACGTGTTATTTCACTACTATCACTTAGATTTTCAGTATCATGATCATCCTTAGATGTAAGTGTAGCTGTAATATTACTAACAGTATTTGCATTCTGCTGTAAATTAACATCATTTTCAGTAAGTGATTCCAAAAATACTTGGGTTGTATGACAGTGTTTAGATTTAGATCTTAAAGCCATAGTGTCTAAAAATTTTGGTGGAGTTATATTTATAGTTGATGTTAATCTCTCAGATTCGGAACGACGCAGTGTTGGCACTTTTGGCACGTCGTTATCTGTAAATTAAAAATAAAATTATTATTACCAAGCTTAGAAAATATTAAACAAAAATTTGCCATATTTTTAATTATAATTACCTTCACTTTCAATGTTTTGCTGTACTGAATTTATATTTTCATCAGTAGATTGAATGAGCGCCGTTTTTATTTCACAAGTAGACAATGTGGAAGCATCAAGTGACGATTCCAGCTTTTCTGTATTGTTCTCTGCTGCAGATTGTTCTACGTTTAGTTCAGCTGAAGTTGTGTGTTTTGTTTGTTGTAAACTCTTACTAACTATATCACCTTCCGCAATGCTATCGTCACTGCTTTCTACTTTAAGATTTTCGGGCATCTCTTTTAATATATCATCGTGAAGATTAAGTTCAGCGGTAAAAATTACTTTAGTTTCATTACTATCCACTTGAAATTGAACCCGTTTTCTATGTAAAACATTTTGCGAAGGAGATATGTTTTTAGTATCCTTAGGTTTAGGCAGATAAAAATGCGAATGATTCATACCTTTTTCGATCAAATGAATTATCCGTTACTTCAACTTTCGTTGAATCAGTTGAATTTGATTTAGGCTTTTTGAGAATTGATTTTATGACATCTGGTTTGTGATTTTTATTTTTTACGTTACGTAAATGTTCCATTGAGGCCTTCTTGTAGTTTTTTTCTGGTATTCTTTGATTGTCACTTTCGCTATCATCGTCAATTTTTGTATTTCTGATTTTTCTAGGAGGTCGTTTCGGTGAAACACTTTTCTGTTTTGTACGATTTGAGGTGGTGTTAATTATTTTCTTACTACTAGCTTTACTTAGTGTGCCTAATTTACTGCTTTCATTTTTAATACTTGGTAAAGTTAAAGCTGAAGACATATCTGTTGATTTAAAGTCATAATTTTTGAGATCAAAGTTAACAGGGTCATATACAGATAATTCATCAACGATGTTTGTTTTAGAGTCATTCGAAACTCTTATTCTTTGTCCACTAATATTTTTTACATTTTTATCAGATGAAACTTTAGTTAATCGATGACTACCGTTTTTATTTGAGTCTTGAAAGGGTCCATTATAATCATCATCAAATTCAACTTCCGAGTTCGATTTTGATATTTTCATTAAATCATATGGATTTATATCACACGATAAAATAGATTTCTTTGTATCTGGCACGTTAATGTCTTCATCAATCCAGACCTCATTTACGCGACTAACAGATTTACTTCTATTTTTAATCAATCCTTCGGGGCTTGGTTTTTTATTTTTCATTCGACATGGACTTATACTTTTTGCTCGAGACCGTGATGTTGAAAATTGACTTCCGATTCGTGTTTCATGTGGAGGTGCTAATCTGCTTCGACGCATTAAATCATATGGATCGGGATCCCCATTAGATTTGAGGATGCTAGGTCTAGACTTGGTGCCCTGAACACGAACAGTGCCCGCCCTTAATAAACCAGCATCACGATTCACTTGTGGTCCTCTCACCGTTCCACCAACAAGCAGCCGTGTGCTGTCAGTTATTGTTAAAGGTAAACGAGATCCTTTACATTTCTTACAAATACTGACTTTGGTTGAGCTGGTTTTCTTCGTACCATTAAGGTATTCAGGACAGGAACATAGTATGACTGCGTAGTTATGTGGTGTTGGTTTTTGAGGAGTACTGATTAAGACAGGCCCAGGACTTTCAGGATAAGATGTAAATACGCTCGGCCGTATAGGCGGAGTCTGGGCCCTAACAGACCCGTACAACCAGGTTTCCGCATACTTCATTGATTTAGATAAAGCTGAACCCCCTGGTCCACTAATAGTTCCATATAAATATGGACTATCCGGTGATTTCTCTGAAGATTTGCTGCTCCCTGATGTATTTAGTTTCAACTTTGAAGACCATTTCTTCGGACGCGTAGTTTCGGCTGTGTCGTAAACCTGAAAACAATAAATATATTATGTATATTTAATTAATAAGATTGTTGCGTTCTAGTAAAAGATTTTTGTATATAATACTCAAGCCAGCTTTTAGTGCAATTTTTAGAGTTAAAACCACAGTAAACCGCATAATCGAGAGAAAATAACCTTCGTTTGCTCTCATTCACTTAACGTTTCATTTGTTATTCAAACAAGGATATACCAATTAAAACCTGAAACTGAATCGTGGCAATTTTCAAAACAAACCTTCATTGACGACGGTTATCAAAGCCTCCTAATTTACAAAGCGATTCCATTATTCTGTACTTGTTACTAACAAGGTTCTCTCATGTCAGGCTTTAAGCAAGTTATTTTTGGAAAACTTTGGTCATATACATATATATATATATTTTATTATCATTACTTAGGTTTACATAAATTACCGTACCTACATATGAGGATGAAATCAAAACTTCGGCACAAACTAATCGTTAATCGATTAAATTAATTAATCGTTAAACATTATTTGCATGTTACCAGTTTAAACATAACAAAGTTTGGCTTGAAAAAAATTCATCTTAAAGTTGAAAATTTTCAAATTCTGAATAAACTTAGCTAACTATTCAGAGGGTGGCCTAATGAAAGTGACCGTGGCGTATTGTCCTCCGAGATCTGCTTGGACAAAGCACGTGCCGGACAATCCGGACTCGTGATTGGAATCGAACAATCCCTGCTGGGATTTAAGTCGGATCTGAATCGAAACCTCTGGATTGCAATACGGAAGTTTCGTTTTGAAATGAGAACTGTGACTGAACAATAAGCTGCTTGTGACACGTGAAAAGGTGTAAAGCTTCGAAATTCGAATGTGTAACATGACAGGTGTTATTGTGAACTTTGCTGAATAAAGTTTTTGTTTAAATTTATTATAAGCATGCTTAACCATACATAATTATGTGATTGTATGCTGTTAGATATCAAAAATGTTCGTTTCTTAAACTTAATTATATTCAGTCAACTGTCTTCGCATGTTTCAGTGACACTGCAAGTAATCACAAAAATATTACTCCATTTTCACAAGATTTTTTTTACATTAGAGAGAAGACATCTCGCCGTGAAAACAATGCATTTATGCAATGCGTGCTAGTCAAAGTTACCGTAAGTCGACCTATAAGTCAAAGAAAAACAAGAAGTTAATAAACAAAGTCTCTATGAATATATTATTGTTTTGTTTGCCACTAAGTTATAACGATATTTATGATTGGAAAATATTTCTTATATATAAATTAAGCTTATTTTTCAATTTAATAATTATTAATTCGTGTGCATCGGCATGCATTGCACCGGCGTGCAATAAAATAAAATAGTTGTTACCTGATACTGAATTGAGGGACTGGCCTTACAAACTTAGCCTTAGAACAACAAAAAATATGTTTGTACTATTTTAAAAAAATACTATAATAATACTTATCGATTTACGGAGCAATGTAAAAGACACTATGTGTTTTATGTGTACAATTTTCGAGAGTGCATTCAAGTTAAAATATATTATTAAAATAAAATAAATCAGGGGCGCTAAAACCTTTCTAGGTCTAGGCCTCAGATATCTGTATCTGTATCATGATGATGTCAACCTATTAGGCAAGTAGGTGATCATCCTCCTTTGCCTGACACACGCCATCGACATTTTCGGTCTACAACAAGCCAGTTTCCTTACGATTTTTTCCTTCATCGTTCGAGCGGATGTTAAATGCGCACATAAAAAGAAAGTCCATTGATGCATAACCGGGGATCGAACCTACGACCTCAGGGATGTCACACGCTTAATCCACTAGGCCAACTCTGCTCTAAAATATACTATTTACCTAATGTAATAAACCCCTATTGTATTCTGATGAAAACTCTAAGCTCATCTAAAGTCGTTCAATTTTAACACTAAACTTTAACTAGGCACCAAGAAGTAAATAGAGACTGTACCCTAGTTAACGTGAACAACGGCAAGGCTTTTAGTATTGCAGATATTCTGCGGTTTTCAATTAACTACAACAATGGATTTAACCGGATAATACAGGACTCTTGAGTTACTTGTTTGTAATCAAAGTCAGTTATAAGAACTCAGTTCACTCAAACATGAAGCTAGAAAAGTGCTGTTATTTTAGGGTTGAAAGCTTATAAAAAATATCAGTGAAACAAGCGCGGTGGCGAAATTCAACAATCTATATTTTAATATTTTCTGTTTTTATTAATAAAGAATAATTAATTGAATAATACAAACTTCAAAATTATTTAATACGTTAACAATTTTTAAATTGTATTTGAATAAATTATTTTCTTGTAGTAAAAGATCATCTTTAGGTAAAAAAATCAATTAAATACTAAATACTATTTGGTATTCAGTAGTAGTAGTTCAGTTCAGCACGGATTTAAATGCGGTCAGTCATCTGATACTGGAGTATCATTACACCGACCTTACCTAGATGCTAAGAGACCGTCATTAGTATTGATTTACTGAGGTAACATAAGTCAAAGCATTTAATTCATGAACAGGCATCATTTTACAAATAATTTTTCCTCACTTTTATACATTTGCTGGATAAAAAGTGATTATCGACATCTGTTTTATGATGTTTAATGTTTTTTTTGGTCTTTTTAAAGTAAACTTCTTTAGGCGCATTAGGGTATAATTTTTACGGAACGTCTCGAAGATGTGCAGCGTTTTTGTCGAAGACAAGGAGAGAGCGATTAAGACCGATTGAGAGAGAGTGAGAAGGGTGAATTACCTTATAGAAATTCTATTGTTATAATTAAAATTTCGTAAAGAGAATTTATGAAATATTAGTATTTTATATGTAATGCAAAATAATTTATTGAAATCTCAAATGACGAATTGTAAATTAAAATGCCACGTGTTTTTTTATCGAAGAAAGAAGAAATCAATTTAAAAAAAATATATAATTTGTAGGTTTTCGACACTTTTAATATTTTAAAGACAATTAAATTCATATTTTATTGTTTTTGTATTGATTGTATTCATTATGTATTCATATTTAGTAATTTATGATGACTTATAGCTAGATTAATAAATAGAGAAAGAATTTGATATATTTTTTATATTCATTTTTAATTAAACCCCTCTGTAATTTATTTATAAATCTTATAATAAAAAAAATGCTTATTAAGCTGATTTTACTACAACACTATGACATAAACTCACAAGCTGTGTCAATCTGTGTTTTGTTAAAAAACAAAACAAACACAAAATAATCAGAATAGTTGATAAACATTACAGAGACCCTTACAGAATATCGTAGATTAGTGGTAATTAAATTAATTGTTTAGAAACTCAACCTTACCAATTTAATAAATAAAGGAACGATACTCCCTTCTATTGAGACTACCCGGTCCCGTCTCAATAGAGGCTAGTATCGCGGTAAAGCCGAAAAAAACACGGTAGACCCAGGCTGCCATGGTGGGATGGATTTGTCAAGGACCTCGAAACAATAGGGGTTTGAAGTTGGATGCAAGAAGCATTAAATAGATTAGAGGATAAGTCCCATAAGGGGCTGTACAGCTATTAATACTCATTGATGTTCATCAGATGATACCCAAATAAACGAACATCTCAAAATCAGTCGCTTAATACTTTACGTACACATCCAAGGCATGAGTGCAAACACCATACAAATCATTAAGTCGTATTTTTTGTTTTTTTTTTTAACACATCCAAATTCATTCTGATTTATTAATAAAGTTCACCATATATGCTTATGTAATAAATACAAAAAAAAGAACAATCAAAACAAAAACAAAAATATATTATTAAAAGGAGTCCTTTTAGGCAAGGTTCCGAAGATACTGGCAGCGTTCCCCCTTTGAATAGCTAAACTAATTCTTTGTCCGAGGTAGCTGCCAGCTCTTCGGTCTCCTGTGATGTCGACTAACCTTTTTGATATTTCCTGAAAAAGCTTAATAGGGCTAGGACCCCACGGACCAAAGGTCTCGTAAGTCGTATTTTTATAATATGTATAACACTAACACATTATCACACAACACATCCGAATTGGGTATTACTTAGTTAAATGTATTTAATAATTTTTCCTTTCTAAGTTTCGTAAATGTGTGAACCTTTTTTTATATATTATGTATTCCATCTTTACTATAATTGCTTTTTGTTATATACGAGTATAATACAAATTAGCTGCACGAAATAAATAAACTTATTTTAATATTTTCAATAGCAGAGAATATTCAAGATGTTGGTTTTACAAGAAATAAAAATGTTATATGTGGAAAAACTTGAAGCCTTCAAGATGCAAGCGTCGGAAACTTCATCCCGAGAAAATATCGGTTTTTACTTCTAGAAACTCGATAAGTATGCCGTTATCCAACTTCAAACTTTTCACAAATAATGTTGTTGACAAAATATCTCGTAAACTTGGGTTGGAATGTATAACTTTAGCTATAACTAAAGTTAAAATTATATTATTAAACTATTTTAGTGTAACAAAAACTTTTGGTAGATTCTGAGATGATACCTAAATATTTGAAAATAATGTTAATGAGGATATACAATCTGTGACATATTTATTACGAGTATACCTGACTTGTAAGAAGATACTAAGTCTAACGCAGATATGTAAAGCCATGAATAACTAATCGAGAGGATATTCGGTCAAATTCACAAGATTTCGGTAGTTCATAATCATTTCTCTAATCTATATATATAAAAGAAAAATGGTTTTCGTTTGAGACCATTGAAATTTTTCTAATAGTTTTGTATTTATTTATTAAATTCCACTTCCTCTTTTTTATTGTTTTTCTTTTATGAAAATTTATCCATACGGACTTCACCGCGGAAACATTGGGGAGCTTTAGAACCTCTAAACTCAACATCTGTTAAAACTCTTTTCGAAATATTTCAATTTTCTTAGCGGGAAGTTAAAAAGAAGAATAATAAAAATATGAAAAAAATAAAATAATGAAACATAAAATTTATTTTAATTGTCCAGCAAAGCGGGCGCGAAACGGCTAGTCTATACCTATATAAAAAAGAAACCCATTTTCCGTTGTCACGACATAACATGAAAACGGCTTGACCGATTTGTCTGATTTTTTTGTTGTGTTTGTAATTGTCAGGAGAAGGTTCTTATAAATGAAAAAATGAAAAAAATTGCGCGGAAAATTAGAAAATTTAAGAAAACTTACCCACCATACAATTCGAACTTTTTGATGTATCCTTATGGCGTTTGACATAACATTGACAGAATGCGTGCTGCAAATATCGTCAAAGAGGATGTAAGAAAAATGAATATCGTTTAAAATAAATGCTTCGATCGGAGTTATTATATTGATAATATAATAATATGCGAGCCAGAAAAACAAACAAAGAATGTTGTATAACATAAAGTATTAGAAATAGAAATATTTTTTAATTAATTATACCAATTTGAAATCATCATTCATAGTTAAGACAGGACAACGTCTGTCGGGTCCGCTAGTAGATTTATAATTTACATTGAGTAACAGCCCAAAGCAACAAGAAAATCCAACTC